TGGCTCCACCTCTAAATGAAATATTTATTTTGAAAAGACTGACTCTAATTTTGTAAAACGTCTTGCATTTGCCAACATATTTAACATTATTTATTGCCACATAATATTTAGAGTGTGTGTGTGTGTGTGGTGTACAGCATACACAGTGCAGCAGCATGGGGTACATAATACATTATATAGCAATGGTCCAAACAATGTAATATATAACACAGCATACAAAACACTGGGGTCCAGACGATGTGACCTAAAGAAAGTGTAAAAGTGTGCAGCAATCTGTAGTAGTAACATACAGAATAATGTGCAGAGTGCAGGGGTCTTGATTATGGGCTGCTTAAACTGCTTACTACGGATGCACCGATACCAATGCACCGATTTTGATACTTGCCGATACCGGTACTTTCAGGTAGCATGGAGCCGGCTTCCCAGTCAATCAGGAAGCCGGGCAGTGTGTCATTACCCGCTTCCTGGCTTCTTGATTGCCCAGGAAGCCGACTCCATGCTGTTTGGCCGGCTCAATGTTGTTACCCTGCGGCACTGCCGGTCAAAGGAAATCTCCCCCTGACCGGAAGTTCTGGTATTGGGGGTAAGTATCGGAGCACCAATACCGATACTAGTATCAGTATTGGTGCATGCCTACTGCTTGCAGTTTAATATTATAGATTAATTTTTTCTATACTGTACATTTTTTCTATACTGTTTCAGGCTTTGTTTTTGTTGTAAGCAAGCTCTTCTCAAACAAAAGGCATGGGAACTCATGGGGGACATAGACAAATGCAAAAATAAATAAATACCGTATGTGGCTTTGAGGGTAGCAGTGATAAAATACAAATCCTATCAAATACAGGCTTGGGGGATGACTGGGTGTTACAGAAGAGTGCGATTTTCACAGCCTCAGTGACCACTGGCAACACATACTGTTTGTGACTGTGGAATTTAATTTTTTTTCTTTTACAATTAGATTGGCTTACATACAGGAGCAACACTTGGTACCAAAATTTGGTACCAAAATCACTGCTGCTGCAGGATGCTGCCGTTTTTGTACGTTAGGCGCTCCTGAAGCAGTTAAAGTACAGTTTAAACAGACCCAAATCTGGCCACTCTGCTGCACAATATGTGCTTGACACCTCCTTTCCAGCAAGAGCTTCCCGGGTTGCTAAGAGCTACTGTAGTGGAGTGCCCCGTTATCCAGATTCAGGTGCAGGTACCTTTAACTCAACTCCCCACAGTCCTCTGGGCTCCCATCATCCCCTGAGCTCTGGGACACGCCCAGGGGATATAAATGCCAGCTCCTCCCAGCTTTCTGTGCTCAGAGAGACCCTGCCTGATGGGACAGCAGTGACTGGGCACGTGAGCTATCCCAAGGTGCTGCGTCCTCCCCTGTTCAGTCTGGTGTGCCGGCCACCAGCAGTGAGCACAAGAGCACGCAGCATCTGTCTAAGCCCCAGTCACTGGAGAGGACTCTGCTACAGTCCATTTGGAGAAGCTGTCCATGCAGTGGGGTGGCCCTATCTACAGCCACCAGAACCTCCTGACCAAAGCCAGCAGCAGCACCAGTGTGAAGTCTGTGCCAGCAGGAGATCCACTCAGCTAACAGTTTGTTGAATGAACGATTCCTATCCTGGACATGTGAGATTCTGTATATCCCTTTTCTGTCATTAAGCTGAACTGAACTCAGAACACTCCCCTGCCATCTAGTGGCCATTTGCAGAACTGCTGTAGAATTGTTTTCATATGTTCTCCCAAGCCTGTTTTCCTTATTGTTGATATTCTGAGTACACTTGCATAGTATACTATTTAATGATGTTCACATATTTATTGTTCATAAAATTCTGAGATCTTTATTCCTGGAATCATGCAATAAGTTTGACAGCCATCATTAGCTGTCAGGAGGATCCTGCATCAAACTTAAGTGCATGATTGGAGGTATTAAATACTTAAGTCCAGCAGTTTTATGCCTCAATGTGTGGTACATATATTGAACTCTGAGGTGGATACTAATTGTATATAGAAATGTGCAGAGTGAGGCTCAAGGCAGATTTCAACCTACAACTCTACATTTAATCAGATCCTACTTCTGTCTTTTAGATATGGTAG